GAGAGGAGCATGTGCCTCGCTTTGGGCAAGCAAGTGATGCTCAGATGTTCTTGTGGTTGTTCCCAGTCCCATTGATCTTACTGGTAGTCTCTTGGCACCGCGTGAAATGCCATATAGATCAACCATCTCCTACTTGGGGATTTGCAGCTGTTTCGGACTTCAGCTCCAACATGTCGGCATATTGGCTAGGCATGATAAGGGCTGTAGCCCAAAATGGCCTTGCTGGTTGGTGCTGATGGGAATTTCAGTCCGAAACAGCAGAAAGGTTGGGGAAGGCTTCCTGAAACGGCACCTCGGAATTTGCTTTGGGTTTTGCTTTGGTGAAGGGCAGCACTTTAACTGAATGCCTTAGAAGACAAGGTGCCTAGTCATGGCCTACTGCAGTGTGTTCTCAGGGCAACTGGTCCCAGATCCCCCAGGTATGAGGGGATCTACATTGACTTTGAGCACAATCCAAAGTGTTGATGCTGCCCTTCAAAGCCCTAAACAGCTTCAGCCCTGTATACCTAGAGGAGCGTCTCCACCCCCATTGTCCAGGCACTGAGATCCAGCTCCGAGGGCTTTCTGGTGGTTCCCTCACTGTGAGAAGTGAAGTTACAGGGGAACTAGGCAGAGGGCCTTTTTGGTAGTGATGCCTTCCCTGTTGGAACAACCTCCCATCAGATGTCAAACAGATAAACAACTTCAGTGGTACCTTGTCTTAAGAACTTAATTTGTCCCGGAGGTCTGCTCTTAACCTGAAACTGTTCTTAACCTGACGCACCACTTTAGCTAATGGGGCCTCCTGCTGCCACTGCGTCGCCACTGCACGATTTCTGTTCTCATCCTGAAGCAAAGTTCTTAACCCAAGGTAATATTTCTGGGTTAGCGGAGTCTGTAACCTGAAGCGTATGTAACCTGAAGCATAGGTAACCCAAGGTACCACTGTATATGACTTTTAGAAGACACCTGAAGGCAGCCCTGTATTGGGAAGCTCTTAATGGTTGATGTGCGGTTTTGTTTTCAACATTTTGTTGGGAGAGGACCAGAGTGTCTGGGCCAACCCAGTCGGATGAGCAACATATAAACAATAACATTATTGTTATTAGCCACATTGCTGAAGCTAAGCAGGTCCAACTCTGTTCAGTGCCTGGATGAGAGGTCACTTGGGAAGTCCTTCATATGCCATCTTGATTTGTGCAATGCGATGAAAGAGCTGCATCCATTTAATCCATACCGTTTGCAATCAATGAACTTAAAGAAGCAAAGTTGAATCATTTTTAGTTGCTTGACTTCAGTCTGCTTGTCTGTTTAACTTGTCAACTTGTTTTCACTGGGTCTACTTTGTGTATGACTCTGTTGAACAGAACCCTAAATATTTCAACTTTTTAATTTTATTTTTAAAAATACCTTATGTTGTTAAGGCCAACTGATAAGGACACTATTGTATAGTTGTAATGCTTTGTTTTTCACTCCAAAGACGATGCCCTATGTTTCATGCTATGTTCACATGCTCCCTCCCTCCCCACTTTCTCCAACACACCCACCCACCCAGTTTAACTTTCTCTTCTATACAAACACCTTCAGTAAAAATTACAATCTGGGTGAACAAGCATGAGCCAAAGATTCGTCAGATCCGTCTTCTTCTTCCTTGCTGAAAACTTGTCATTTGCGGAGTTTGGAAATGTTAATGAAAAACTCTTACTTTTCACTGTTTGATGAATTGAGTGTGTTCATGGTTTTCTTCACCCCAATCAGCTAGGGATGATGGGGTGGGGAGGTGAGGAGGAAGAGGGGAGCCTTCTCTGTTGCTGTGGCAACTGGACTGATGCTTCCTTATCTAATCCAATGTGCACCCCATTGAACGGAATGCCGTGCAGAGGAACAATGCCTACATCTGCCCATCCACATGCCTCTCAGAAGGCAGCTGCTGTTCCATTCTCTGTTTCCCTTTCAATGGGCAGCCCATCTGGATCTGGGATGAATGAACCTGTTGCTTTCATTCTTTCTCCCTTTTCCAGTCTTAAATTCAATTTGCCACATTTCCTCATTTTTTTAAGAAACCCCAAAAAATCTCCTCATAAAAATATGTCAACATTTCAGCGCAGATTGCTCCTTATCTTCATATTTCTGTGTGAAAGTTTGCCTAGCAGACCTGCAGAGAGACGTTCTATTATTTCCCTAGTGCATAGTTTTCCTCACATGATGCTTGCGTGAGTATGGGTGCCAAATATATCAATTCATTTTTTTAAAAGCTCCAGGCAGATCATAGAGAATTGAACCTGCTCTTTTCCAAGTGGGCTTGGGAATGTAGCTTCACGCTCATTGAGTCCCTTAATCCCTGGCTGCAGGAGACCGTTTCATGAGGTACCTGCAGCCCAAGGCTCAGACAGTTGTCTCAGACCCCATTTTCTTCTTCGTTTTCACCATTCAGTGTTTATCAGAAATGTATAATGAAGACACAAGGCTGGCAGGCGCAAGCAAAGCATGGTTGTGAATCTATTGCTCTCAACACACAAAGCGCCACCGTTGCAGATTTTGATATATAAGGGGGGGAGGGGTTTGGGGGGAGGGAGCAGAAGAAAGCTTCCCAGCAATGCACCAAGACCTGCTCTTGGATATATCCAGGATTAAACTGCAAAGGGAAAGTGTATTGATTGATATATTTATTTGACTTTTTAAGCCACCTCACATCAGTTAGGATCTCAGGGTGGTTGGCAAAAATGCTTTTTAAAGCACTTAGAACGTGTCAAAAGCACAAAGAGTGTCTGGCGGCATTGTGGAGACAGCTGGTGCTGTAGTGGTCCTGGGTCACGGGGCCAAGGACCAGTGCCGGATTTACATATAAGCTAAACAAACTATAGCTTAAGGCCCCACTCTCTTGGCCCCCCCCCAAAAAAAATAAAGGGGAAAAAACTGGATGTACATTTCCAAAATATAAGTTAAAAAACAAATAAAATAAAAGCTACATACAGCAACAGTGTTTTGTGTTGTGTAGGCTCCTATGATGTAAGTAATGGGCCCTGTCTGCTAGCCTGCTCCATAAAATATCACTGGTTTGCTCATTTCTATATATAGGGTGCCTACATTCTGCATGGACTGGTTGCATGGCAACATGTGCAAAGGGCTTTAGATACCTATTAGGTCCATAAATTACCATATAGCATATAGTCAACCCACAAAACAAACCAGTGACAATTTATTGTTGACGAAGGACAGGTGGACATATAAAGACCCCCATTACCTTCAGTAGCTTAGAGCCTCATCAAACCTAAATCTGGCCCTGGTAGGGGCAGAGACTCATTCCTATTCCTGCAGCAGGATCTCTGTCTCCAGCATCCTAGAGCTGGCCAACCAACATGTAAAAAAGGAGCTTTTTAACCACAGAGAAGAAATCTTCTCGCCCTCTGTGCTGACTGGAACCAGTCAGAGTGAAAGGTGGTGAGTTAACCACTGAGGATTGGCTCCTAGGGTCACTCCGGAGAAGGCACATGGGGATAATAACATTGAGGAACTGTTGTACTGTATGCTCCAAATCTAGGGACGCGGGTGGTGCTGTGGGTTAAACCACAGAGCCTAGGACCTGCTGATCAGAAGGTCAGCGGTTCGAATCCCCACGATGGGGTGAGCTCCCGTTGCTCCGTCCCTGCTCCTGCCAACCTAGCAGTTCGAAAGAACGTCAAAGTGCAAGTAGATAAATAGGTACCGCTCTGGCGGGAAGGTAAACAGCGTTTCCGTGTGCTGCTCTGGTTCACCAGAAGCGGCTTAGTCATGCTGGCCACGTGACCCGGAAGCTATACACCGGCTCCCTCGGCCAATAAAGTGAGATGAGCGCCGCAACCCCAGAATCAGCCATGACTGGACCTAATAGTCAGGGGTCCCTTTACCTTTAATGCTCCAAATCTAAGCATTTAAGAACCCTGAAAAAACAAGGTGCTTCCATTTCAAGAGAATGGTGTGCAATTTCAAGGAACTTCATGGAAAACACAGTCTCAGTCACTCCAAAAGAAGGTATAAAAGCACCCCGAATCATTTGCCTACTTAGGTGCACAGAAAATGGTAGATCTAGCTGAAAAGAAAAACCTGAGATCTGCACTGATCCTTGCAATGCATCCCTAATTATTAAGTTTGTATAATAATTTTATTTGTAAAAAGCCATGCCCCTTCGCAGTTGCACCCCTTTGAAGATTATTCAACACTCTGAGAATATAGTCTTATAATCTCAGAGTGTTGTATAATCTTCAAAGGGGTGCAACTGTGAGGGGGCATGACTTTGACTGTTATGAATGGAAACTGCACTTCTGAATTTGCCACTACGCTGCTGACGATAATGAATAGATTTTCTGCAGCACAAGCTTTCATGGACTCATGTTCACTTGGTCAGACACATGTGTAATGGTTACTGGGTTTGTATCCCAGAATGATGATAGCAAGGTGATAACCCTGACAGGTCATTTACAAAAAAGTGTTTTAGCTACAGACTCAATCCAGGATGAGATTTCTCAACACGTCATTAACATTTTGCAGTCTGAATCTCAATGTCTAAAATCCAGGCTCCAAATTACCATCTCTCCAGATAATATTTGGAGGATATCTGTGTCCAGAATTTGGAGAGGGTGACTTTTTTAAAAGAGGAATTTCTGGAGCAAATCTGTTCCAGCTGTATGAGTAACTTCCTAGCTCAATCAGCCCTAGAGGAAAGGAGATTTGCATTTACTCTACTATGAAGCACCCGGCACACTGTAGCTGATGCAGTAACAGCAGAATGTTCCCAGAATCACTCTGTGCAAAATCAGAAAAAGCAATTTATGGGCCTGAACAATCCAAACTCCATTTTATCTCCACTTATTCTGACTTCTTGCCAGCAAATGAGATTCTCTCCCTCTCCATTGGGCCCACCAGAACATCAATCTTACACCCGGCTTATCACCCGCTCACAAAGGAGGTTTTTGTCATATTTAAAGTGGAGGGGGAGAGAGACCTGCTTGACTCATCTTCTCTCGTACACCTTGGCTCTTTTGGGAAGGTAGCTCAGTGACAGAGCACCTGCTTTTTGTGCAGAATATCCTGGGTTTAATACCCAGCAGCTCCAGGCAGGAGAGACCCCCATCCCAAACCCTGGAGAGCTGCTGCAAGTTAGTGTAGACAATATTTAGCTAGATGAAACAATGTTCTGACTTTGTATGAGGCGAGTTAAGGAGAGCCGTAAAAAAGTCCCAAATTCAATCCCTTGTATTTGCAGATAGGGCTGGAGAGGCTTCTCTTTGAAACCCGGCGAGCCACTGACAGCCATGTCAACAGTACAGAGCTAGAAAGACCTAAGTAGGTCTAACTCCGTATAAGGCAGCTAGCTACTTAACTCAGCTCTCTCTTTTTAGGACTAGAATCTGAACTTATTTTTCTGGGAAGGCCTGTAGGCTGGTGGAAGGACATCTGCTGTGCTTGCAGAAGGGTCCCAGTTCAACCGCATAGCTGTCAACCGTCCCTTATTTGGCAGGAAACTCCCTTATCCCAGCACCGCTGCTGTCCCTTACTGATGATGTCCCTTAAATTTCCCGGGTTTCAAAGGAAGCAGCTCCTCTCCCTCTCTCCATGCCAGCCAGGGAGGAGGGAGGCTCCAACTGTGTTGCTTGGCTGCGTTGCTCACCAAATAAGGAGTCTAAGAATGACTGGGGGGTGAAGCTTGCATGCCTTGTGCCAATCAAATCGGCCGCGTTGCCTGGGGACTCGCCTTTGCTCAGCGCTTCCCAGCGGAGAGGTGATGGTGGTTTTCCTTGCTGCATCCCCTTTGCCGGGTTGCTGCACTGTGGGAACCACCACATGAGGCTTTGTTTGGCTGCTGGCTGGGCTTTCTGCCTTTGGCTCGGAGGGGTCAGAAGTTGAACATACCTGTGCCTGGAAAATCCCTTATTTTGGCTGCTGATCCCTTATCCCTTAGGCACAAATAGACTCAGCCTCTCAGAACAGGAAGAGATTGGAGCTGATCCACTAAGTCCAAAGAGGCGGCGAATGGGAGGGCTGCTAGATAGGAAGCAAAACAAGAGACGTAAGAGTTGAAGTTCCATATCTTCTGTCGACGCCGGAAGGAGCCTTCAGAATGGTCATCTTGAGTAATGATGCCGGAGGCTTTGTCAGAGCCGTCCGGAGCTATCTGTTTGTTTTTGCAATAAATCCTCCTTTTTGATTACCTATGCTCACTGTGTTATCAAGCTGGGAACCTGGACTCTTGACAGAGAGGTACTAGTGGCAAAGCTCTGCAGAATGCCTCCCCTGCTGCCCAGTGAGAGGGGAGGTGTTCTGCCACCCAGCTTTGCTGCTGGCTGGGTGGGGAAGATATCTCCCACTGCCTGGAGGTAGGTGTGTGTGTGTGTGGGGGTGCTTTGCACTGCCTTCTCCTGAAGGGAGGTGGTGATGGAAAGTTCAGCAGTTCGGTGGGAGAGTGGGAGACCCGGGAAGGATCTCCTCCCTGCCTGGCAGGGCAGCTCCTTACAACGTCTGTGCCCCCATTGTGGTAGTAGCAACAGGGCGTGTTGCCTCAGGTGCCAAAATGCCTGAGGCCGCCCCTGGAAGAAAGGGATATAAATTTAATAAACATAGCAGCTTCTTGTGTTCTTCTGTTGGCTCGTAAGTCTGGTCATCTAACCTGTTTGGACCCGCTTGACTGGCAGAGGGCATTGAGTCTTTTCCAGCCTTATTTGGTGAGCTTTTCAAGCTCTGATTCTCTCTTCCGAGTCCAGGATGACCATGGAGGTGAACAGAGATGAATGGAGGCCTTCTGGGGAGGGGGGAAAGGAGAAAGCAATTGTTTGTGCAAACGACTCTATATGGCTGCAGGCTGGCTGTTCCCAGGAACGCCGTTTACTGATTCTCCTGGAACATTTCTTTTTTACAGTGAAATAAATTCCTTTTTGCAGCGTATATGGATCGGGGGAGCTATATGTCACTTTTTACAAGGGGCCGACAGCTGAAACCAGGGCAGAGTGATGGCGCCCCAGCCTTGCTTCACCTCTGTGACTTCATTAGATTTCTCACAGCCCCCCCCCCCCATCCCTAGAATTTTGGTGTTGGTTTATTTTAAGATGCAAAGAGCAGGGAAACATAGAAATGTAGAACTAGAGTCTTCTAGTCCAACCCCCTGCAAGTCAGGAATCATAGTTAAAAAATCCCTGATGGCCGGCCATCCAACCTCTGTATAAAAGTCTCCAATAAATGAGTATCTACCACCTTCTAAAATTAATAAAAAATAATTGGCAAGATAATCCATCGACTTCTGAGGTAGTCCATTCTCCTGTCCAATAAAGTAAATGCACAACCTTCATAATGATATTTGTGTGTGTATATATGTATGTGTACACACACACACTGCTTTTTTTCTTAAAAAAAATATGTTTTACTCTCATTTTGACACAAGAAAACCACCATTTTATAGTTCAAATCAGGAAAAATAAATACTAAATGGACAAAAGTACAAATATTCACCTGGAAGACCATAGTTTCTCCACTCCTCTTTTACCTGACTGTAGTAAGTCTGCAGATTATTGATAGCCAGTGTGGTCTAGTGGTTAGAGTGCTGGACTAGGACCTTGGAGACAAGGATTCAAATCCCCATTCAGCCATATGAGGCCCACTGGCCAGTCCCTGCCTCTCAGCCTAACCTACCTCACAGGGTTGTTGTGAGGATAATACGAAGGGGGAGGGAGAAGTGTGTGAGTTTCTTGGAGGAGAGGTGGGATATAAATAAAATAAAATAAAACCCTTCCTTCTTATGGCAAAGCAATGAGTTTTGGGTCCCATGCAGTGCTATTTTTCCAGAAAAAGAGGTGCTGAAGTTCACCATGAAAGCCTCCCTCTTTGTCTTAGAATGACAATGGCATCCATCTGAGAGGTGCCAGAACTGAGTTCCATCAAATTCCCCCTGAAAAAAAGCTCTGGCCCCATGAATGGGAGCAAAGAAAGACAAATTCAGCCCCCTGGTAAAACAGTGAGAATTTTCAGGGGGCACAGAATCTACATAGGAGCCAACTCCTAAGGGCCATGGGGGCTTCAGCCTCCCCAATAAAATATCTGAAGGGGTCAGCACCTCCCTCCAGGTTGGTGGGCACTGCCATTCAAAGAGTGCGCATGCACAGTGTCATGTGATTGATAATGTGGGGCAGGGCTTACCTGCCCCACAATACTTTATTCAAGTTGGCACCCCTGCTCATCTAGTAGCCTTTGCTACAACTCCCACGCCCATCCGCTTCCAACCATAAAATAATGAACCTGAGAGCAAAACGCTGATCAAAACGAAATGCTCCTTTGGCTACTTTCTCTGTGCTAAGCTGTGAAATTCAAATTCCCTCGTGAATATTCATACCAGTTCTCTGAGGAAACCGGCAAGTGGATTCGGGTGGTGTAGCGGCTCGGGCTGGCAGAAGCTTGCAACCAATGGCGTGTTTGTGTGTCCCCTTTTTTTCCGCTGGGAGAATTTCCCCCTTCTCACCATGGAGCGACGACCCACCCCCCGAAATAGCTGCCAAGAAGGGAAGGCAGGGGGTCAGGGCAGGCAGGCAGCTTAGCATAAGGATAGCCTGAGCAGTTGCAAGAAGGTCTCTTCAAAAATTCATGCCGTTCGGCCACCCATCCAAATATTTATTTATTTATTTATTTATTTATTTATTTATTCCCTCCCAAGGAAAGATCCGCACGGGCACGGCTGCTTCCCACCTTCCTCCGGCTCACCACGAGATCCTCCCTTTGCATGCTAACTGATCAATAATTAAGAGCTCCAAATTTATTGCGACAGGCAGATGCGCGCCGTCAGCGAGCTTGGGAGGGAGCTGGCCTGGCAGGGTGGAGCAGGATGCTGTTTTCTACAGCAGGCAGCAAGTATTGAAGCATGCAAGGAGAGCCCCTGTGGCTGGATCAGGCCGATGGCCCATTTATAGCCTGGCATCTTGCTCTCACGAAGTTCAAGGGTAACTGTAGGAAGCTATTCTGCTTGCTGAGATTCTATTATTTTGAAGCTATACAGTGGCATGACCTCATCTGAAATAGCTTTGGAATATCTTCCAAATTCCTTATGTTCAGGGTCTCCGTGGTCTGGGATCTATTTGCATGTAGAAGGTCCCAGGTTCAGTCCAGGGAGGGCTGACAGGGGAGGTCCCCTGCCTGAAACCCTGCAGAGCCACTGTCAACCAGCATAGATCAGTTGTGTGGAACCTTTGGTTCTCCAGATGTTGGTGACCTACAGCTTGCATCATCCCTGGTCATTGGCTGCACTTGCTTGGGTTGACAGAAGCTGGAGTTCGGCAACATCCAGAGGGTCAACACACACACACACACACACACACACACACACACACACACACACAGAGCCTACTGGGTCAGAAGAAGAAGAAGAAGAGGAGTTTGGATTTGATATCCTGCTTTATCACTACCCGAAGGAGTCTCGAAGCTGCTAACATTCTCCTTTCCCTTCCTCCCCCACAACAAACACTCTGTGAGGTGAGTGAGGCTGAGAGACTTCAAAGAAGTGTGACTGGCCCAAGGTCACCCAGCAGCTGCATGTGGAGGAGCGGAGACGCGAACCTGGTTCCCCAGATTAGGAGTCTACCGCTCTTAACCACTACACCACACTGGCTCTTACACTGGGTCAGGGCAAAGGAGGCCCATCTAGTCCAGCATCCTGTTCCCTTGGTGGCCAACCAGATGCCTGTTGCAAACCCTCAAGTAGGACCCAAGCAGAACAGCACTCTCCCCTCCTGTGGCTTCCAGCAACTGGTATTCAGAAGCATCACTGCCTCTGACAGTGGAGGTGGAACACAGAGTTCATGGCTAGTAGCAATAGATAGCCTTCTCCTCCATGAATTGTCTACAGCTTCCCCATACCTGGTTTAGACAGCAACTGGTATTCAGAAGCATTGCTGCCTCTGACTTGGGAGGCAGAACACAGCCAGTGGGATTAGTAGCAATAATGAATTTGTCTAAAGCAGGGGTCAGCAAACTTTTTCAGGAGGGCCAGTCCACTGTTCCTCAGACCTTGTGGGGGGGGGGGCGGACTATATTTTTTTGGGGGGGAATGAATGAATTCCTATGCCCCAGAAATAACCCAGAGATGCATTTTAAATAAAAGGACACATTCTACTCATGTAAAAACATGCTGATTCCCGGTCTGTCCGCGGGCCGGATTTAGAAGGCGATTGGGCTGGATCCGGCCTCCGGGCCTTAGTTTGCCTACCCATGTTCTAAAGCTTCTTCATTTCTAGTGTAGACAATCTGTAGCTAGATGGATCAATGCAGGGGTGCCAACTGGAATAAAATATTGGGGGGAGCAATTAGACCCTGGCCCGCATACTCAATCACATGATGCAGTGCACACACCCCATTTGAATGGCAATGACAATCAGCTTTGGGGCCCCCGAAACCCTCAAATATTTTATTGGGGGGCGGCCGAAGGAACCTCAGCCCCTAGGAGCTGGCTCCTATGGATCAATGTATGAAGCAGTTTCCTTAGCTCCTTCGCAAGAAGATGCCTCCCTAGTTTGAGTGATTGTTGTCTGATTGATTATATTTAAATCCTATACAGTGGTACCTTGGGTTAAGAACGTAATTCATTCCGGAGGTCCGTTCTTAACCTGAAACTGTTCTTAACCTGAGGTACCACTTTAGCTAATGGGGCCTCCGTGCTGCCACCGCACAATTACTGTTCTCATCCTGAAGCAAAGTTCTTAACCCAAGGTACTATTTCTGGGTTAGTAGAGTCTGTACCCTGAAGCGTCTGTAACCTGAGGTACCACTATACAGCTTAATATATTACAAATGTCTTGTAGCAGAGTACAAAAAAATTGGAAGCAATAAAGAACAACTTGAAATATTACAAAAATACACAGTTACTGTACATATAAAAATGTAACATCAATACAAAGTTACTAATACAGTGGTACCTCGGTTGTCGAACGTAATCCGTTCCAGAAGACCGTTTGACTTCCGAAACATTTGACAACTGAGGCGCAAAGGGCGGTCTGCAAAGTCAATGGAGAAAATTGCAAAAAAACCCCACAAAAACCCACAAAAAACCCCTCAGTGGAAGCCGTCCGACTTCTGAGACACATTCGAAAACAGAAGCATTTACTTCCGGGTTTTAGGCGTTCAAAAATCAAAACGTTCGGCTTCCGAGACATGCGAAAACCGAGGTACCACTGTATATAAAAATCAATTTCAGGTTGAACAATGTGCAATGTATGTGACATCACATGCCTCATGGGCGTGGTGTCAGCCCTTCCCCCCATGTCAGGCGCAACTCGTCACCTGTGGTTCTCACCCAAGCTTCACACAAACTCTCAGCTCACCCACAAAAGTCTCACAATGAGAAGAGTTCCTGGAAACAGCGTACTTGCTGGATTAATTTCTGTTCCAAATATGAGATGAATAAGCTGATCTCAGCCATTTCTGTTCCCATTTCCACCAGAAGTCCCTGACGTCCCTATTCAGGAACAGAAAAATCCTAAATACCACATTCCAGCCGCTTAGCCAGCGCGAAGAGGATGTTGCAGCTTGGATGCGGACCACCGGCCTTGGCGTGAAATGACCATCACCCACTTCGTGTCACACTGTGGGCTCAGGAGTGTTAGGAGGGAGTTTAACGCTAAGTGGCTCATTGCCACTGCTCAGCCAGACGATGGTGACTCAGCCGTGTTGCTTTGCTGGACATCACATTTTCTAATAAGCGATTACTGGTGTGAAACCTGCTCAGGCAGCAAAGGGATGGGGGCTGGAGAAATGAGAGCTGGTGGTTCATGAAATGGAAAATGTACCTCCCCCCCACACTCCCCCACCCTGTTAAAACTGATGGACCAAGTACTCTTCAGCCTCCCTCCTCAGCATCCTTACCACAGAATGACCTTGGCTCATTTTTATTAGGATCGCTGAAGACGTGGGCATGACCCTCTTGGGATGCTAAAACCATGTCACGCTTCTTATTCATTTGCTTACACTGCCATCAATGTGCATCGAACTGCAGAGCCTCTTAAATAAAGGAACACAAGGAGAGCCTGTTGGATCAGGCCAATGGCTCCTCTTGCCCAGCATCCTGTTCTCTCAGTGGCCAACCAGATGCCCATGAGAAGTCCACAAGCAGGATCTGAACACAAGAGCAGTCCCCACCTGTAATGATCTGAGGCAGGCAAGCAAGCCCCGAAAAGAAGTAATGACTCTCCCGCAATTTTATGTATGTTTATTTAGAAAAAACACACACATCCAGAGCATGGCTTCTTGCCTGCTCGCATTGACAATAGTTGGTCAGTCTGAATTTCCAACCCTTTCACAGCATGAAGGATGCCAAATTCCTGCCCTTCCCCTCTTGCCCTTCCCCAGTCCTCTGATCTTATCCAGTCTCCTAGAACAGGGACTGAGAGGCTGGCCTCCCCCCTGCCCCTGTTCACTTGACACGGTCTCAGCCCTCTGCTTATCTGCTGATTGCCTAGCAATGCTCTGGCTGCCTCCCAACTCTCCCGCTTCTTGAGAACTAACAGTGTATTCTTCGGGAAGGGGGGTCGAACTGCCTCTTCGGCTCTGTCAGCCAGCTCTCATCTACAGAGTCTCTCTCTCTCTCTCTCTCTCTCTCTCTCTCTCTCTCTCAGCTTAATTTCTGAGTCTGACTCTTCCCCTGCACTCTGGTGAACCACGTTCCTGACACCACCTTTGCTTTTTAGCAACTGGCATTCAGAAAGATTACTGCTTCCAGCTGTAGTAGCTATCAATAACCCTCTCCTCCATGAATTTGTCCAATCCCCTTTTAAAGCCATCCAAGTTGGTAGTCACCACTGCTCCCTGTGGGAGAAAGTTCCATAGTTTAACTATGCACTGGGTGAAGAAGTCCACAGGCAGATTTAGGGGAGCACAACCAGTTGGGTTGCACTGGGTGCAGAGCCTCGGTGTGCCACTGGGGGTGCCACAACTATGATTTACAATGCAGCATGAGAGTCGGAGGACCGCCAAATTTTGATGTTGCACAGGCTGCCCCTGGAATTTGAGACCCCCAGTTCCGGCACTGAGAATTCCTTTCTTTTATCTGTCCTGAGTCTTCCAACATTCAGCTGCACTGACTGTCCATGAGAGCCAGTGTTATGACAGATAGACAAGTCCCTGCTCTGGTGATTTAATAGCTGCCAGTTCAGCTGCTCCCCATCAATTAATGAGAAAAGGAATTGCCTTTGAAAATCATCATCAAAGAGGAGAGAAAAGTTATCCCTTCTAATTTTACACCCTTCAGAGTTAGCTGACAGACTTTTGCCCCTGCCCCCAATCATATTTCCTTCTGCTATAATGTGTATTAACCTTGTAATTATTATTTTTATTTTTACCTGGCATGCCACCTAAAATTAATTGGCACCATTGCTGATACAGAAAACTGCCCGGTTTCTGTTTAGTCCTGTTTTCAATGTACCAAGGCAGTGCATTTTGCCTAAGGATGGAGACCGTCAACAACCATTTTTTGGTTTCTAGAGATAGGACATCAGCCAAGGTTGCTTTTTTATTATTATGAAAAGACAGTGGAGATCAGTATAAAAATTGCACATGCATAGATGCCAGTGTAGAAAGAATCACCATGATTTAAATCCGGGATGGACTGTGATTCTTATCATAGGGTCATATAATTCTGTATTTGGAAGGGACCACAATGGTCATCTTGTCCAAGCGGCTGCAATGCAGGAATCTTTTGCCTAACGTGGAGCTTGAACCCACAGCCCTGAGATTTAGAATCTCTTGTTCTGCCAACTGAGCCATCCAGCACTTCCTTTCTTTATCATGACCAACATTCAGGAATGATGGAAGTTGTCAGTCTGCAACATCTGGAAGGCCACAGAGTTCCCCAGCCATGATTGAAACAAGAATACAATGCAGGTCACCATAGTGAGGAGGGTTATGGCCAGCTGATTCTGTGGTACCTGCTCAGGTCTGCAGTCCAGGTACTAAGAGTTGATTGGCATCTTCGTTGGGTGCCTGATCTTTGGACCTTCAACCAGAGGACTGTCCTCTGCTAATCCTTCCAACCAGGTACATGGGAGACAGCCTTCTGCTGACTTAGACCATTGGTCCACCTCCACTGTATTGTTTACACTGACTGACATCAGCTCTCCAGGTTTTCAAGTAGGGAAACTCTTCCTTTGGGAATTAAGGAGATGTTCCACCACTGAGCTATAGCCCTGAGCCGCAAGAGAATCATTTGTGACATTTGGGTTGGCCCCCCCCAAAATGTTGCTCTAATATGGATCCCACCCCCGCACAGCCACGGGCCAACCAGATGACGGTTCCTTTTTGTGTAAGCTTTTTCTAACCCACCTCAAGAGCCTGTAAAAGGACTAGCCCCTTCTGCACCTTTCCAAATGCCAACCTAATGAGCAATCTGAAGGGAGCCTCATCTACTCCCATCAACACTGAAAAACTTAGGAGTGGGGTGCTTATCAGCAGGGGATGTCCTCATTCATGCTTTACATTTTTAGATGCACACCTGAAGATCGGAAGCATGGATGACAGCCAGTTAAGCTATGGAACTCACTCCAATGGGAGGCTGTGAAGGCTGCAGACTTGGGTGGCTTTAAAAGAGGATAGACAAATTCGTGGAGGAGAAAGCTATTGATGGTTACTAGCCACGGTGGCAGTGCTCTGCCTCCACGGTCATAATGCTTCTGAATACCAGTTGCTGGAAGCCACAGGAGGGGAGAGGGCACTTGTGCTTGGATCCTGCTTGTGGGTTTCCCACAGGCCTCTGGGAGAACAGGAGGCTGGACTAGATGGGCCACTGGCCTGATCCAGCAAGCTCTTCTTATGTTCTTTCTACCTTTGTGAGTACGGAGGTCGGATATACCGATGCTTCAAGCATCAACAACAAACTAGTCAGCTCTCCATCCCAGCGCTATTGATTCTTTCTATTCAACGGACAGGGCAAGGGAGATCAATTTCAATCTTCAGGTCATTTCAGCAGCCTATTTCCTTGCCATCGTTTGTTCATTTCAGAGTAAGCACCGGCCACACCAGAAGCTGAGCTTGTCAGGCATGTGCAACGCCAGCCCAGTTCATCAGCACCGAGCCCTTGATCTGTCTCGGCTGTCCCTGGGCTTGCTGAGTGATTGCACCGAGAAATGATTTGTGCTGAGCATCACAGGACAGGCGTCAGCCCCTGCTTTCTCTCTTGCTGGCTATTGCTAGGGGAGCTGCAGAATGGCAAACACTGGCATTGCATTGGGGGGGAAAATGTGCCTTGTTATTTGCAAGAAGTGAAGTCTAAACAGAATGTTGAAAATGGAGGATTTGACAGTAGCTCAAGACGACTTGGAGACTCATGCATAAGATTACAATCTTTTAGAATAAAAATTCCTTTCTTAGAGTGTACCAATATCCTGTCAGGCAACCTGTTTCCTCAGTGGTCAGCCGGATGCCTTTGAAGATTGCAAGGGAAGTTTGCAGGGCACCAGAGCAATAGCCAGTTCCTGCTGTTTGCCCCCATAGTTTAGTAAACCTGCCATAAGGACACAAGAACTTGGTTAGCCCAGTGGCCATCTAGCCTAGCATAAGATGCCCCCAAGGAGCAGGGTACAAGCCCAGGGTACAAGCCCCCTGCCCTGTGGTTTCCAGGACTGAATATCCATGAGGTCCAGTGTTATGAGATAGGGAGAAAAACATTTCCCTGTCTACTTCCTGTACACCATTAGAAATATGGCTGTTTCATTCTGCTAGCATGAATGATTAATTGTTCTTGATGGGCATGTCCATGGGATCTTCTTTTTTAAAAGAAACCACAACCATCTACACTAGTCCTTTGCCAAACATTAAAAAAAACCCAGTTGTTCCTCACCCGAGCCAACCATTCTCTGTCAATTACTGAGAAAAGGGAATTGAATCTGAGAATGATTGAAGTGCAGAAATTTTCATTTCTTGTTGTTCCTGCCTTACATCTGAGGTGGCCAAGGGGCATTTCTGGGTGTCCTTTTACAGTGGAACCTTGGTTCTTGAATGGCTTGGTTGATGAACAAATTGGCTCCCGAACGCCAAAAACCCAGAAGTGTGTGTTCCGGTTTTTTAATGTTTTTTCGGAAGCTCCTGCAGCCGGTTGGAAGCCAGGCCTTGGTTTTTGAATGTTTTGGGAGTCGAACGGACTTCCGGAACAAATTAAGTTTGAGAACCAAGGTACTACTGTATTTGCAAGATAGGGGATTCTGACTCAATGATAGGAAGAACTTTCTGACAGTAAGAACTGTCCAGCAGGGGAATGGACTCCCTTAGAAGATGGTTGGACACAGAGGAATGGTGGGAGGCACTATGGGGGAAAAATCTACTGGGACAAGTTGCTGTGCTCACTAGGCCTGGCCTCCCGAGTCAACCTTGTTCCCTTGACTAAAGGGTTAACTTCACTGACGCTGTGTGATTTATTGTTGACCTGACACCCACTCCTGCAGTGGTGAACTTTCCTTCATTGGAGGCTTTCAAACAGAGGTTGGATGGCCACCTGCCAGGAATTCTTTCAGCTGTGATTTCTTCATTGCAGAAGGTTGGACTGGATGACCTTTGGGGGTCCCTTCCAAGTCTACAAGTCTATTGTTTATTAATTTGTTAAATTTATTCATCGCCTGCCACCGAAATGCTCTCCAAGTAACTTCAATTGAATATAGCAGTATAACATTGAAGGGCAGTGGGGAGAGATCACATTGATATTTTGTGCAATATACTGGGGGAACAAAAAAACACCCCACCAGCCCCCCCATAACAGTAATAAAAAGTAGTGGTAAGCAAACAATTCAGTGAGAAAGTAATACGGGTGCCCCCTGGAAAGATTGTGTGTGTGTCTGCATATAGCTTAGTCGGTGGAGCATGGGACTCTTAATATCCGAGTCAAAAATTCCAGCCCCTTATTGGGCAAAAGATTCCTGCATTGCAGGGGGTTGGACTACATTGCCCTCACGGTCCCTTCCAACTCTGCAATTCTATGATCCTAATGTTCCAACCCACTAACTAACCAATAGCAATAAAAACTCAACACTGATCCTCCTCCCAAATCATTGACATCAACCTAGAGATGCTGACTGATGCTGCTGATGCTGATTTAATCTTCCCACCCCACCCAGAGTTCTGATGTCAAGGCCAGCAGCTGTCAATCAGGAATGGGGGGGCCAGGGTCCTCCAGGGATGGTTTGGCACCTCTCCTCTTCTTTCAGGGACAGCAGCGGCAGAAGCAGAGTTGGGAGCTGGTGGCAAAAGTTTTACCTAATCTGCAGTCATCCTGGCTGCTGCGGCTGTCCTGCCACCGGTGGGGGTGGAGGTGTAAACAAATCACCTCTCTGCAGCCTCCCTAGTTGCCCACATTTCAGTTAACCCCCAGGAAAAGACATTGGGATTTCCTTCTTCTATGGTCTTGCCGATGGGTGTTTCTGAGTTCCCTTTCTTTCTACAAATCATACAACCAGTGTTCTCTGCAGCCTCCCTGGGTGCCCATGCTTTAATTAATCCCCATTGTGATTTAACTCCTCCAGGGGGCTTTTTTTCATTAGGAAGCATGGGTAGCTGGGCAGGATGCAGAATTCTGGAGAAGTGTGGAAGGAAGGAAGGAAACACGCATCACTCTCCGCTACCTCTTTTAGTGATAATGTAAGCTTGAAACCTTTCACTGACTGATATCCTAAAGGATTTCTTTAGTACCCTGGGTCTGGAACAGCAGAAACCCCTTTCACAGAGGAAGGCAACTTCAAGAAAATGGAGGACATATTCTGGCACAGCACTAATCCATGCTAGATAAGTTTGCCTCATCCTGTCTCTTTACTGGCCACTGTAAAAACAGGATGCTAGACTAGAACCAGCTGGGCTCTTCTTATGCGCTTACATTTTTAATGCTTTAAAAAGTCTGCCATTGCAATAATTAGAAAACGGGAGAGTGACTGGCACCCTTCCCAGCTAGGAAGGGGTGGGGCAGGAACTATTATTGATTTACACATGTTAATTCATTGACATCTATGCAGGCTAGATGGCAATGGGGGAGAACCACCTGAGTGCCTTTGGGGCTGGATTTGTCCTCTATTTGCTTCTTCAAATTCCATCTCTTCCATTCTTCTGGAGGAAATCCCTGTCCTGCTGACTCAACTATTTGTGTGTGTGTGTGTGTGTGTGTGTGTGTGTGTATTCAAAGTTTTGCAGAAATATTCCATTGCACTGCAAAGAAAAATAAAATATGTCCAAGTGACAAATCAGCATTTTCTTGGTGCTCTGCTGGGCAGTGGGTGATGGGTTGAGGAACTGCATTATTAATAGAGGTTAGCAACGCAGTCCCCTTTTCTCTGGTCTGGGAATGAAGCTGGTCTGCTCACCATGCCAGGCTTTTGCTGACCAGCAGTTCTCCCTGAGATTGTCCAAGGCTGCGATGCCATTTGAAGGCACGACCCATCAGCTGGGCACAGGAGGATTTGGAGAAAGAAGTCGCTCAGGCTGGTAGATAAGCTGGCAGGCCCATATCCTGGGCATTCAAGGGCAAAGGAGTGAGGGCCCTTCACAGTTGAGGTCAAAGGCGTACATTAGAGCTATGCACAGGCCACAAGACTTGCATTGTATGTTTGCACTTCAAAAAACAGTTTTTGGTTGTTATTTTTAGTCAATTTTGACCCGTCATTTGGGTTCTGCTCTGCTCTGTGTAGTTGAGGCAGCGATGTTTCTGAATAGCAGTTTCTGGAAACTGCAGGAGTGAGGAAGGTGGTTCTCGCACTCAAATCCTGCTGGATGTCAGGGGCTGGTCTGAATTGGAAGATTGG